CAAGGTCCAAGCCCATGTTCAACTGCATTCCTGTGCAAACAGCTTGATCTGACCATCTCAAGCTGGCTGCAGTGTCAAGATGAAACTGTTGTTGCAGCCCTGATAGTCCTAGACACACTCAAAAGCACTAGCTCCTCCCACAATCTTCAGGGACTCACGTTTTCATTCCACCTCTCATATTTTGTCTCCTTCCTTGCCTTTCTCAGCTCTATTTGGTTTTCATGGAAACCCACAGGATTACCATCACCATATGCCCTAACTTTAACCTGACTTTTTACCTGATCAACACTGCCTCTTTCTAAAATCCCTGAACAATGTGAAGCATATCTCTAACACACTTAGCAACCTCTCCCTTCTCTCACATTTCCACCATCTTCCTTCCTGACTCTGACTGCACCTGGTTCAAATTATTGCCTTTCCTGCCCTGGCTGGGGAGCTGGTGCATCTGGTTCAATGATTGCATATTCTCCCCTGGCAGGGGAGCTGGGACAAGCTGCAGCTCTCCCTCAGTCCACTACCTCTCAACAGGCCAAACTCATCACCTTGACCCTTACTGTGACCCACTTATGACCAACCTATATTAAGGGCTCACAAGTTAACATTTATTCAGACTGCAAATACACATTCCACATACTACACAACCATGTTGTAGTCACCTCCCATAGGTCTCCAATCATTAATGCTCCACTCATCAAGGCCCTCCTACAGGCCACCATCTTGCTGACTAGGGTGGCTATACTAAACTGCAAGGGACACCAAAGGCCCTCAGGCCCTATAGCTGATGGAATACCTTTTCAGACAAAACTGCTAAAGAAGCAGCCAATCTCCTCCTCTATGTCCCAAGGGGGTCAACATTTTGCCCTTTCTAGTGTGATTTCTGCCAATTCCCTTTCTGAAGGCCAACAATATCAAGATCTCCTCACCAAAGATGGATGGGTTCCTAAACCAGGGCAAATTTCCCTTTCTTGTTTCCAAGGCCTATGCCATTCTTTCTTCTTTTCATGACAATTTTCACACAAGCTACAAACCTCTAACTAGACAGCTCGAGCCTCTCATATGCTTTCCTTCCTGGAAGACCTTCCTCAAAACCATCACTGCTCAATGCTCTCTCTGCCACACAACCACACCTCATGGTTTTCTGATGCCCCTTGCTTTTCCTACACAGCAGTGTGAGGCTTGTCTCCAGCTCAGGAATGGCAGAGTGAGTTCACCTACATGCCACAGGTGTGAAAATTAAGGTACCTCCTGGTCTGTGTTAATTTTTTTTTGTTTTTGTTTTTGTTTTTTTGGTACCAGGGATCAAACTCACAACCTCTTGCTTGCTAGGCAGGCACTTATGCCAATAAGCTAACTCCTGGGCCCTGGGTTGACACTTTTATTGGATGGGTAGAGGCCTTTCCCATCAGCTCAGAGAAGGAAAAGCTGTTATCAACTCCCTTCTAGCCAATATTATCCCCTGGTTTGACTTCCCCACCTCTATCCAATCAGACAATGGCCCAGCTTTCATCAGTCAAGCTGAGAATGTGTCTAAGTCACTTGGTGTCCAATGGAGCCTCCATATGCTTTACTGCCTAAATCCTCCATAAAGATAGAGCTAACAACCTCCTTAAGGTCCACCTAAGCTCACGCTCCAGCTATGTAAGACTGGGTTTCCCTGCTCCCAATCACTCCTTTGCATCCAACCCTCCCCCACCTTCCCTATAACCTACAGGATACAGTCCATTTGAGCTTTTATATAGACACATCTTTCTGCTCAGGCCAAATTTCAGCCTGGAGGCCAACTCTGTTGGAGACTTATCGCCCAGTTTTGCAACAAGCTCAAAAAGAGAGATGACATACAAACCTTCCCCTTGCCTTTTGCTGGCATCCAGCCTATGAGGACAGTCTGGTTAACAAATTGGTTCTAATAGAAGATTTAAACTCCTGGTCTTACAGTCCAAGAGGACAAGACCCTTCCGGTCATCTACAATACCCCAATAGCTGTTGGTCTACAAGACCCCCTCCAGGGTACATCTGATAGATTCCCCATCTGAGAGACAGCACAATCATCATGGTGACGGTTCAAAACTGTGCCATAACAGTGTATAACTTCTTCTTCCCAGAAGCCCCTATAGATTCTTCCTCCCAAAGGTTTTTGCCAAAACTCAATGCATGTAAAAATTTACCCAATCCCCTGCACTGTCACAAAATCAGTCAGCTCATATCAGTACCGAGAGGCCTTCCCCCATCAGAGCCTGTATCAGGCAGAACCTGCCCTTTGTCTGCAGAGCGGCCACAGCCTTCTTTGTGGTGACTCCCTTTGTGTCCTCATTAAACTCTTTCTTATCTAGCTGCCTTTCTTTTAATATTCTGTACTGCTCTACATTGAGTACAATGTTTCATCTCAAATCAACATCCCTCCCAGATAAAGCTGTGTCCTTGACATCCCTCCTCATGGAAATCTCTCCCACCTTCCTGGGCCATCCCGAATTTCAGCACCTGATAAGCACTGCCCTAGCAGGTATTCTTGTGTGTCTGGGAATACAGAAACAAAAACTTCACACATCTCTTTACTTTTCTGGGCTTGACATCCCTGTGTACTTACATGACTGATGAGTGGTGGCGTTCAACTCCAGTACTTGTGAACACATCATTTCTGGGATTTTCTTCCAACACACTTTGGTGCTTCTATTGCTGCTTTTTTAGTAATTAAGTGGCTTCACTTTAAAAAGCAAAAGTGCTGGTGTTATCAGGGATACTTTATAACACAATTATCAGTATTAATGTGGCACCATTTTCCTTGGATAAAGGGTAAGCAAAAAATAACACAAGGGAAAAAAGGAAACCAAGAATAGCAAGTGTTTCTGAATTTTTGCTGTTAAGTGTCCTCATTGAAGTGCTATAATGCCGACTTTTATGTGTGGTGCCAAAAAAAAAACAAAATGTCTCTGCTCATAAACTATGTGGCATGATCAAAAAATGCAATGAATGTTTAAAAGAAATGTATTATAGTAGAAGGTGTGTTGCCACTAACACCTCCTTGCTCTGAAGATTTCCCATTGTTTTTGCCACTCGCAGAAGCAGTTCTGGAAGTTCTTTTTGTCTACTTGTGCTGTCATGGCTGCCTTGATGTTCTGAACTGATCCAAAGCATTTACCTCTCGACTTTGGAGAAGAACCAGAAGCCAAACAGTGCCATCCAGTGAGTAAGGCAAACTGTAAGGTTTTTATGAGCCTGCCTTTCCACTGGATGGCACTTGGTAGCAGCACTCACCAGATTTTTGGTCACATTTCATAAACTCAGAAAATAAGACTTCTAGAACCGCTTCTTAATGTGGCAAGAATGATGGTGTATGTTCCAAATAAGCAGAAGAGTCTTGTGGGAGATTAATGGCAGTAAGTATTTTATGGTAATAACATTTTTAAACATTTACAATATATTATCACATTGTATGTACGTAGTGCACTTGAAAATGAGAAGTTTTATTTACCTTTGTATTTCATATCTTAAAATTAATGAACGTGACCCACTAAATTGATTTACTGCCCACTAATGGCTTGGACCCAAGGTTTCAAAAGCACGGATTAGTGAAAAATAGTTATGCCACTACAGGTCTTGGGCTGAGTGTGAAAGGAACACAAAAGGCTTATGACCTTCTCACTTAGTGATTCACTTTTATTGCAAGTGGTCCTCATGCACCAACTTCCACCCAGTTATGCCACAGAGACGAGCACTTGCTCCAAGGACACTGATCGAAAGGTTCACACCAGGAGGAAACGACGGTATCTCTCCAGAGGAAGATACCAGGGCACATTCTCATGACCTTCCCTGAACCTCTGAATTCAGCTTCACAGCCCCCATCACAGGATCAAAAAGTTTACTTGGTGTTTATGGGAGTTATTATGTTTCTGAATTGTAGGATTTTCATTCCAGATCATAACTGTATTACTTTTCCATTGCTGCTGAAACAAACTACCACAAATGTAGTTGTTTAAAATACCACAGAGGTGGGTGTGGGAGCCCACACCTGTAAGTCCCAGCACTCGGGAAGCTGAGGCACAAGGACTATTGTTAATTCAAGGCCAGCCTGGGCTAAATAATGAGTTCAAGCCCAGTCTGAACTACATAGAGACCTTGTGTAAAAAATAAAACAAAATTAAAACTCACAGATTTATTTTCAATGGTCCTAGCAAACAGGAATATGAAATCAGCTTTACCAAGGCAAAGTCAAGGTGTTGAGGAAAAGTTTCTTTCCCTTTTCAGCTTCCAGTGGTTGCCTGCATTTCTTTTTTTGTTTGTTTGGTTTTTTTTTTTTTTTTTTTTTTTTTTTTTTGGTCTTTTTCGTTTTTATCAGTACCGGGGATCGAACTCACGACTGCCTGCTTGCAAGGCAGGCGCTTATGCCGCTGAGCTAAATCCCCAGCCCCTTGCCTGCATTTCTTGGCTTCGGGTCATTTCTTTCATCTTGAAGGCAGATTACTCCACAATCACTGCTTCTGTCACCACCAGTTTGTCTGGCTTTGACTTCTCTACCCTTCTCTCACAGACTCTTGTGATTACATTAGGCCTACTTGGATAAGCAGGGTAATCTCATTTCAACATCCTACTTACTCACATTTACAATGCTCCCTTTGCCACAGGAAATAACACACTCGCCAGTTCTAGGAATCAGACACGGACACTTTAGGGGGCCGTTTTTCAGCCTGCTAATAACTAAGATGGAGGACGAAATAAGCAGGCTAAGCCAGCGAGGGCAGAAGGAAGAGCCAAAGAACAGCTCTAGCATCTGGTGGAGGCCAAAGTTGAGACGCTAGTCATACCAGGTGCAATAATAAAAATCTCTCAGACGAATAAATCCAAAAATGAATTCAAGATCATGAGATGAGTCTGACTCATAGGGGCTAAGCTGGGGTCAGAGGATGATTCCGGGTGCTGGAGTTTAAACTCTCACAGAAATGAAACCTGGCCTCATCCACGGAGCACAGAATGGCACATGACAATGGACAGAAGTTCCACACATAGGCATTTGGAAAGTGAGATTTATTTAAACAACAATAAGTCAACAGAAACAGGATCTGGTGCAGTCACCTTCATAACTGAGGTTTCTCTGAGTGTGGGGAGAGACCAGTAGACGAGGCCAATCCATCATTTTGGAAGCTCCATAGTGTCCTCTGGGAAGGCCACATCCTTTCGCTACCAACTCAGGAGGAGCCTTCACAGATTAACAAGCTATCTCCTTCAAACCTAAGAAGGAAAAACACAAAGGCTGTTCAGAGACTCTCATAATGCAGCGCAGAGGAACAGAGTAGGGAGAAGCAGACACTGCTATGGGCCTTGGGGACAGGGTACCAGCTTGGCTGTGCTCTGTGCCTATGTGAAATGGGGTTTCATAAGTAAAAAGGGGTTGGGCAAGAAGATTTTGTTTGAGTGGCTTAATATGAATTGAGAAACCATAATAACAATTTATGGGCTCTCTATAGTAAACATCCAAAACCTGCTGTTAAACTGCTGAACTTTAAGCAAATGCAATGAAGCGCATACACCACCCAGGGATGAACACTGACACACTCAAGCAGCTGGGCTGAATGGAAACAAAGGCAGCTCTTTACATAAAATGTTTGTGATGACCAGGTACAGTGGTGCACATCTATGATCAAGCTCGGCACTTTGGGAAGCTGAGGCAGGAAGACTGCAAGAATTCACTTTGGGCAAATTTGTGATCTAGTGAGACCCAGTCTCAAAAAAAAATTGTAAAAGGGCTGAGGATATAGCTTAGAACAAAAGCCCTGGCTTTAATACTCAGTACCACAAAAAGGAAAAAAATGTTACATTGTTTTGTGATAACAACTAAAGTTAACTTAAATCTATTAGAAATAACCTATATTTAATGATCTGAATTTACTTGATTTTTACAAGGTAAAAAGCCCATAAATTGTTATTATGGTTTCTCAATTCATATTAAGCCACTCAAACAAAATTTAGACTTAGCACAGTTTAATAAAATTATTAAACATTCATTAAGAGTTTCTATAACAAGGGGCAAATGTGTATGCTGTAATATTAAGGTCAATAAATCAAGAATCAAAAAAGTTACATAAACATATAAAATCCAAGTATTAAAAATAAGACAACAGCTAGAGGAATGTGGAAGGAGGTCCAGGGATTTAGCTCAACAGCATAAATGCCTGCCTGGCAAGTGCAAAGACATGAGTTCGATCCCCCGTATCAAAAAAACAGTAGAAAGAAATAGGCAAATACATGAATTTTATTTTCTTTCCCATACTTTTTAGACGTTTCCAAATGCTTTACTAAAACTTATATTGTTTTATAACTGGGAGGGACAATAGTTTATGTAAAAACACACCAATAAATGATTTTAAATCAGAAACAAATTTGAAAGGATTCTAAGTGCCGAACTGCACAGCTGAGTAAATTTATAAACCAGCAGAACGATAAGCTCAAGTAAACTGATTACCAATCTTATGTCAACCTGGAAATTTCACACAGGGGACAGTCCCTGCCTCTTTTTTTGCTTTCCACCAGCTACTTCTCTGAGGCCATTAAGTCATTAGGATGGATCTTATCTGGAGGAAGTCTGAAAGGGAGATCTAACAGTCTCCACTGGGCTAGTAAGAGATCCAAGACATAACCAGCAGGGAAGCCAGACTTCCCTGGGGCAGGTAGAAGGGTGGGGCTGGATCAAAACTGAGCTAATAAGACACTGATATGATCACTATCATATTTCTACGATTACTACAGACAACAAGGCACTGGTATCCAGATCCATGCAAGCTCCCCATGGTTTATTCTGCCATTGCCAGGGAACTGTACCTAGCTACAGAGATAAGCGGGTAGAATTCACCCACAGCTGCATGGTTCTGTTGCAGAGATGTAATGATCTGTGTGTTTAACATATCATAAACATGGTTATCAGCTGCTGAAAAAGACAAACTCTGGGTACTTTTATTAAGATCATTACCTGAAGCCCTCAATGTCACTAACCTTTAAACTGCAGAAATTCCACAGCAAACCTGTCAATGGTTGGCTTGTTTTTGTATTGATGGCTTATTTAAATAGTCTCCTGATTTCCATACCATAAAAACAAAAATGTAATTGAAAAATCTCTGGATGTGCTCATAGATATGTGTACTATGTGGTCCTCTAGCTCCTCTGGGCCTAGGTTTCAGATAGGTTTAGAATGTTTTCTGGGAAAAGAAACACTCTCCATTTCTAGGTCAAAGCAACAGAAGAATAACCTCCTACCAAGGTCCTGTCCTCCTCTGGTTGCCCAGCACAGACAGTAATGATGCATAAGCTGTTCCAGAAGCTCCTTTTCATCTAGAAATTCAAGGGATTCTATTCTGTGCAAAGAGTAAAACATAACATTATATAATTAAACATGAAGATGATGACCCACAATTGCTGATAATGAATATTCATGACACAGTAAAAGAAATTGGTTACACAGCAGTATACCAGGTATGGTTCCACTTTAATTTCATGATTATTAAAACAGGCAAGAAGGTTAGGAGTTTAACTCAGTGGTACTGTGCTATAGTGCTTGCTTAGCCTCAGGCTTAATCTTTAGCACTTCCCCCAAAATGAGTGCCATAAACAAAGTCATAAATAAGATAAAAACAAACCAGAAAAATATATTTGCAATACAAATGGCAAAGGACTGACTTCCTTGTTATATAAAGTGCTATAGAACTTCAATAAGAAAAAATGTTTGAAATGAATTTTAAATTTATTTAACAAAAGGATATATCAAGGGTATCTCAAGAATCTGCAAAACTATCCTACCCATCAAAGGCCCAAAGGTGTAAAAAATGCAAATTTATTTCAAAGATTTTCCTTTGAGAAAAAGATGGCTGGTACGCCCTGCTTCCCACTGTCCCTCTTCTTGGCCAGGAGTCAAGTGTTTGGCTCCACCACATACTTCTATCATGATATGCTGCTTCACCACAGTCCAAAAGTGAGGGAGCCAACTGATCACAGAACAGAACCTCCAGTTCTGAGGGTCTACTGAGGTGAAATAAACCTTTTCTCTTTTTAAACTGATAATTTCAGACATTTGTCACAGTAACAGCTAATATAACACCCAAGGTGAATTAGTACTAAATTTTAGAGAAAAAAATCCTGTAATACAAACTTTAGGATGGTTATTCTCAAGTAAAACTATCAGAGCATAATACTACTATAAAGTCATTCACTGGCATGAGAGAATTCCCAAGAGCAGGCATATAAGGTGTGACTAAAACACAGAGAATGTCTAAATTTTTAGAAGTTTTTTTACAGTAAAAGACATATCACCATTAATCTCCTGTTATGGATTAAGAACTGGTGGTCAACTTTTCAGGTGGTGCTTTTCAGGACAGCTCTGGTCTTTGTTGGGAATGTGACTTCTTGGCACCAGCATAGAAACCTCATCCCACCAGCACAGCTTCTTCACCCCACTGGCATGGACTTTCTGGCTTCCACTGCTGACCTTTGGGCCTTCCCAGCATGGACCCATAAAAGAGACTGGTGTGAATCCTTCTTGTGGACTCTGGACCTCCAGTTGGATTCATGGGAGGCATTGTCATGAGCTCTGAGTTTTCATCTGGACTCATGTGAGACATTGCTGTGGGATTTAGGCCTTGTCTAAATATTCTACATTTTGGTGTTGTGGATAGATCTGCATTTTCTTGTGTTAACTCCTGGTGACCATTATAAAAATAATATATAAAATCCATGTCCTGATTCTAATTGCTCTCTGCACAACGCCTAACTGTAACATCTCCCTCGAAATACTTCCTCTCGCTTCAAATGCACTTATCCCATCATTCCAGCCACTTTCTGAAGCAGTTCTGGAGGTCCTCTTTCAGGAGACTTGAGACCAGTTGCGCTGTTGTGGCTGCCTCAATGTCCTGAATCAATTCAAAACATTTACCTTCTATGGTCATTTTGACTTTGGAAGAAAGCCAGAAGTAGCATGAAGCCAGATCCAGTGAATGAGGAGGGTGAAGACACTGTCATGTTTCTAACAAGCCTCTCTTTTTACTGGATGGCACTTGATAGCAGCATTCACTGTATTTTCGATCACACCTCATAAAGACTCTCCATTCACAAAAATGAACTCCCAGAATTAATTCAGAACATGGCAAGAATAATGGGATGTGTGTGTTTAAAGCAAGGGAGGGTATTGTGAAGGGGATTCAAGGCAATGTCTTGTTTATTATTATTATTATTATTATTATTATTATTATTATTTTGGTACTGGGGATCAAACTCACAAACTCACACTTGCCAAGCAGGCGCTTGTGCCACTGAGCTAAACCCCCACCTAATTTAAATATTCATTGTATATACTGAACATATCTTGTATTTTCTGGTCTATTTTGATATTGTTGGGCTGTGCTCAGAAAATATGTCTGATACACAGTAGATGCTCAGCACTTGTTAAATAAATAAGCTTGCCTTAGACCTCTTTTTTACATCCTATGGTATCCAACGGATGCAGGCATACATTGTGTGGGGTGTTGTTGAACCGGAGTAGAGAGAGCAAAGCCCAGCCCATCTCCTGATGGTCCCTGTTAGGGTCACACGGTGCTGCCTTCAAAATCCCATTCCACATGAGATAAAGGTGCCAGAAACAAGTTACTTTCTGTCTGGCTGAGGCTGCCTGCAGGACCCCCAATGCATGTCTGGAAAAGGTTTAGAGCATCTCCACTTTAGATGCCATGCAAGGGATATTCAAAATAGTTTTGACAAGCCTGCCAGGAAGGGTGCTTCCAGAAGAATCCAGGAAGCACTAAGCTGATTACTGGAAGACTCCACTTTCTCAACTCTGAAGGTTTTTGTTGCCAGTTACATTTATATATATAGCAAAAAACAGTGATACTTTCAAATGTTAGTAAGTTCTATGGAAAAGCAAGGTGAAAATTTTTTCTCCTAATCTCAAGATCTCCAAAGGAAAGAGGAAAACACAAAGCAGGAAGTAGAGTCACTGTAAAAAAAACCAAAAGTGGGCACTAACAGATGTACATACAGTATTCTGTCTGTAATAGGAAAATCTAAATAAAATACAAGATACTACAACCAATGTCCAGCTATGGTCATTTTTAATTCCTTTAAAAAGCAGAATAGGGTAATTCTCAGTATTTTGATATTGTGAGATAATCAGTCCTATGTTTAGGTTTTAAAAGAGAGGGTGATTTCAAGACCAGTAGTATGAATCCACTGGTTCAAAAAACATAAATCTACATATCAATACTTCTATGTGTAGAAAAAGAATATGTCCCAATTTGTTAACAGAGCTAACTGCCCGTGTGAATGAAGTACATGACTGCTTCGTATTTCATGCCCTTGCACTGTTTGAAACTCTTTTAGAACATTGGCATATATTCACTTTATCATGTTGGGAAAGTCCATTTAAAACTCTATCAGAGGTCTTTTTTTTTTTTCTTCTAAGAAATCCTTGGGCAGTATCATTTTCCTCCTCTCCAAAACAGGGATTACGCCAAATTTCCACTGAGAGGTTGCTCTGGGAATTTTCCAGGTATAACTGTTTATTCTGACTAACATAATCTGTTCTGGCATAAGCTCTATCGCAGATAACAACTAATGAGTGACTCTCACTGCTAGCAATGTTTAGTTTACTTCCCAATAAGTCTGGCTATGGTTTTGTAATGTGTTTCATACTCCAGAGTACAGAGAATCACCCCTTATCTTCCCAATGAATACCACAGGGCCACGGCTTGCCAGTCCCTACCTGCTCACTTCGGCTTGGGGCAGCCTGCTGTACACCTCCATCATGTCCACCACTGAGGCTGTTTCCCATCCATTCGACAGAAGCCGTTCCCTCTAAAACAGTGAAAAGAAACGGAGAGCTAAGGCTTGGCAAAAAAGCCTGAGACCCTGAGGTACACAGGGGTTTTTCTGACGTCATTCTTCTTTACAAAACCCACTGTGTCCCCCTCATCTCCCTTCTTTGCACTTTCCAGTTGTCTGTATAGAACATACACTGTTATTATGGGAACCATGGAAGGAGAAAAAAAACTTTTCTGTGAGCAACTGCTAAAGCGTCAGGTGGTCATGTGACATAAGGCAGGTCAAAACCCCTCTGTGGGGTGAGTGATCTCTCCTGCACGCAAATAAATGACTGTTTTTTTTATAAGGGAGGGGGACTATCACAGATTTAGAGAGCTACAAGAGACCTATCACCTACAATGTGTAGGTACTAATTCAAAACCAGCTATAAAAACATTTTAAACATGTGGGGGACAGTGAACATGGATTGGGTATTAGATGCTCTGAAGTGCATTATTGTTACAATAAAATGTGATAAGAATACCATCGTACTCTGGGGGAAGAAAATCCTTGGTGAGAAGAGATTCAGACTGAAATGTTTAGGGTGAACTCATGCACTGGAGTTTGCATGAACATATTTTGACAGCAGCAACGAAAAAAATTGTAGAGAGGATGCATGAAATGATACTGACAAATAATAATTACTGAAGCTGGCTGACAGGCTACGGGTATTTATTACACTATTCCTTCCACCTATAAATTTAACTTTTTACATAATAAAAAAGAAATTTTACATTAAAAAATAAAGCTTGCATAATGGAATGGGGTATAGGAAATGTAAATTTGTGTTTTCCATACCAACATGGCAAAGTAGGACTCTTCCCAGCATCATGGAGCCCAAGCTGCCTGTGTCAGCAGGTGCTCAACAGGGCTCCCTGCATCGTGTCACCTGTGCAGAAGAACGCCCTCTCTTTGATGGCTAAGGGTACAGTGGATATGCTTGTCTCTGCTGACCTGAGACTCTAATGACTTGCAGGTCTCCACTCCTGCCAGGTGACACTGTCGCCTCCAAAGATTTTCGATCATGATCTGCCCAAACCGATCATCCATGTTCACCTGGAAAAGGGAAAAAGAAGGCTGGGCATCAGCACAAAGGTTTGCTTCTTAAAAAGGCAAAATAAAACAATATCCTATTTTGAATCAGCCACAGCTGATATTTAGTAATACACCTCCAGTGTGAGTAAAGGAAGGAGGAGCAGACACTATCACACGGCATGACAGAAGCACAAAGGCCACAGCCCCTCAAGGGCAATGTTACAGCATGCACGCCCACTTTAAACACTCAACCTGTAATGGGACAGTGCTGCTAATGGCAATTTATCCTATCAATAGATGCTGGCACCTATGCTAAGATTTTTTAAAATTCCTACAGTGCCATGGAAAGTAGAAGATCCTGGAAATAAATACCCATCATTTTGGGTTAGATTATAACATCTGCATGAAATGAAATACCACAGCCATGAAAACAAGAACACAGATAAAGGCATAGGCATGAAATGATTTCAAGATGAACTCTTACAAAGCACAGTATCAAGGAAAATGGGCAGAATGCTTTCATCCAGCTTCAAGGAAAAAAGATCTCCTTATATATACAGGGAAATTCCAGAATGTAGCAGTATTGCTTCCCAAATGAGAAGACAGAGGTCAAGGGGAGGAAGGAGATTTGCTAGTTCTCACATTTTGTACTGTTAGGTTTTTCTATTCTACCAGCGGTATTAGTGTTTGAATTAAAAATACCAGTTGAAAAAAATCCCCAATTAACCTATATAAATGCACAAATGCCACAAAATATTACTATACACTATTGGAGTATACACACTTATTATTCTGTCATACAACACAGTAACAAAATCATTAGTATATGTTTGCAGTGCATGTTTATATTTCTTGTGTGGAGTTGACACATGTATATAACACATCTTAACTCTTTTTACCTTTTCCCTTCCATCCCTCGCCGCTCTCTCCACCTCTTGATCTTTCCATTTGAGAAAGATCTATTTCCCTACCTCCTACTATCAATCTTTTACTTTGTCTTTTATTTACATTTTGGGTTTCTCATGTAAGAAAAACTATGTGATATTTAAACTTCTTACACTTAAAATTGCAGACTCCAGGTGCACCCATTTATGAATGAATGCCTCAAATTTATCCTCTGTGGCACAGCATTACTCCACTGTGTGTAAACACATTTTCTGTATCCACTCACCTGTTGATGGATATACAGGCTGCTTCCAAGGTTTAGTTATGAGTTGTGCTGCTATAATCATGGATATGCATAGATCATTGCAAACATCCTTGTGTTTATTTATTTATTTAGCACCAGGAATTGAACTCAGGAACTTGCACTTGCCAGGCAGGCACTTATGCCAGTGAGCTACAGTCCTGGCTCACCGTTGAACTCTTTTGGGAAGACATTGAGAAGGGGAATAGCTAGGTCAAATGAAATTTCTAGATTTAGCTTTTCGAGGAATTTCCATATTGAGTTCCATAGTGGTTATACTACTTTACATTCCTACCCTCAATGTAGAAGGCTTCCTTTTTCCCTACAGCCTTGCCAACATTTGTTACTTTTTGATTTCTTGATAATGGTTATTCTTTCTGGGGAATGATAGAATCTAAGTGTTGTCTTAATTTGGATTTCTCTAACGGCTAGCAATGTTGAACATTTCTATGTGCATTTACTGGCCATTTGTACTTCAGAAAGGTATCGATTTGTGTCTATTCACTTCAGTTTGATTAGATCTTTTATTTGAAGGGAGCTAGTTTTTTTTTTGAGTTCTTTATATACAGTAAGTTCCAGTTTAAGAACATTACAGTTGCGAACTTTCACAGGTATACTGTACCAGACACACTTGGTTAATTCCTAAACATTTAATTTTTCTTGGTGTTATTGTAACTGGTATTTATTTCCTGATTTCTCAGTGAATTCATTATTAATGTACAAGAATGTTACTGATTTTTGTGTGTTGGGTTTGTAGCCTGCTACACTGCTACATTTGGCTATTAATTATACTTATTATTTGGTTATTTGGAATTTTTTCATTATGCCAGGTAGAGGGTCATACTGTTTGCAAATAATTTGATAATTTGACTTCTTCCTTTCCTATCATATCCCTTTTATTTCTTTTTATCGCCTAATTCTTTTTGCTAATGTTTCAGGTATAACGTCGAACAAGAGTGGTGATCGTGGATATTCTTGTATTGCTCCTGATTTTAGTGGGAAAGCTTTCAGCTTTTCTTCGTTTAATACGATGTTGGGCAGTTGGTTTCTCATAATTGGCTTTTATCAGATTGAGATAAGGTTTTTCCATAACTATTTTCTTCTTGTATTTATCATGAATGGATATTAGATTTTGTCAAATAATGTTTCTGTAACACATCACTTTAACAACATATAAAATGATTCCCAGTTTCCCAAGACAACGATGCGAAGCAAGCAGCAATATCACTCTCAAGGAAGAAAAGGGCTTTAGATAGTACTAATAAGATGAGCTGAGATGGAGGGTGTTAGAGACCACACAGTCCTTTGTTCTACTGCCTAGATTTGAATCTTGGCTTGACAATAGCCGTGAGGACATCACAATATGCCAAATTAACTCTTCTTTGCCTTGGTCAAGATAGTGCTAGTACCTACATTGTACACTGTTGAGATAATTAAATATGTGAAACTCAGAATGGTGTCTGGTACAGTGTATTCAAAATCTAAGCATTTGCTACCGTTACTTTATGATCACTGAAATTCTCATCTTCCACGGGGCTCTGTCATTTTAAACTATTAATCAGGAAACAGTATAAGGCAGGTGAGCAATTAATACATCCTGTGAGGTTGCTATTGACTGTGTGATAGAAAAGTGATACAACTAACTGAGGATAGTAGGTGGGCGTGAACCAGGTGACAGACAGCTGTGAACACTAACATTTTTCATGTTTCCTCCAAAGGGAAAAGTTTCTGGTCAAAATTTACTTAGCCTACCACCTTTCACGTGGTGTTGAATAAATGCTTATTTGACAGACCACACAAACATCACCAAAAGAGTGAAGCAGCACATGCTGGAAGCATACAGAAGGTGAAACATCTTCCCTAGGTATAGTATCACAAAAGTAAACAGACGTCCAAGATTTAGTCACATGGAAAGAAAACTGAGATCAGCTTCCATTATGTCCACTTCCCAAAAAGGGAAAACAGCCTGAGGAGAAACACTGTCAAACCAAGAAGGAAGGGTAACCAGCCAACAAGAACCAGCTATACAGGAGTGTGGACCTGGATGGGAGCTGGGGAAAAGGTGCAGAGAGTTAGGACCTAGCCCTAGATCTGGCCATTATTGTAAGACATGGTAAAATTTGTTTGCTGTTTTTATCTATCATGAAATCAACAGAAAATAAAATTTAAAAAATAAAATCAGGGAGAGAATCATAAGGGCAGATACTATGATTTAGATCTAAAGTGTTCCCCTAAAGTCTCATGTTCAGAAGAGGGGCTTTTGGAGGATAAGTGGATCACTGAGGCACTGTACTCATCAATGGATTAGTCTATTGATGAGTTCATGGCTGACTGTGCTGTTAGGAGGTGGGTCTTGTTGGACGTGTGTCACTGGACGACTGACCTGGAATGGTGTACTGTTGTCCCTGGCTCCTCTCTTCTCTCTGCTACCTGGTTGCCATGAGTAGAGCACCTTTCGGCCATCACGCCCTCCCACCACATGCTTTCTGCCTGGGAGGCAGCCAACTGCAGATTGAACCCACTGGAAACTGTAAGTCACATACAACCCCTCCTCCAGTTTTGGTGTCAAGTATTATGTCCAACAATGGGAAAGCCGACTAATAAAGTGCACTATAGACAGGAACACTTACTGATTGCTGAGACATTTACCCAAGTTAGTACACATGTGGCAATGTGGGAGGGCAGAGAGACCAATCAGAGAAACACAGCTTGAAGGCAAGAGCACATAGATGAAATCCAGAAATAAGGTAGATGCAATAAGGAACAAATCATTACTCAACTGCACAAATGCTTGTAGCACAGATATGGAGAGTGCACGATGGTGTGAAAAGTACAAACTCTCCAGGGGAAGAAGCCAATGGGGGCGGCTGCTTATCAGTGCCCAGCACAGCCACCACTGCCTTCATTTACGTCCAGAACAGTGGCTCGCCTACTAAGACAAGGAACCCAGAGTCTGAAATATTCACCTGGGAAAGCATGCCGGGACCTGGGTGTTGTGGAGCCAATGAGACGGAAAGAGACCCAGAGAGCACAGCAGTAGGATAAAAACACCAGGAAGTGAGGAGAGAGAGGGGTAGAAGGAATGGCACAAGTACTGCAGGAACTGAAGCCAGAGACTCTTGGGGAGCCAGAAGATTCTAGCTATGGCAGAGCCAGAAGCAGCAAGTGCTGGGGCTGAGCCAGACAAACTGAATGGCTTTGACTCAGGTTAGTGTCCCCCTGGCACCAGGCTCAGGAGGAATTGTGACTCAAAGAAAGACTTGGAAGACCATAGCAGCTGGGCATGTGGGTCCTGGGTGTGCAGAGAAGGTACTAGCACACTGCCACCTGGGGCTGCATCCTTCCTGACTGGAGGAAGCCTTGTGACCACTCTGCAGACCATAGTTCTGAGAAAACTAGAGGCCTTTGAATATGGCAGTCCAAAGACAACAACACTGCCAGCCACCCGGGGATATTCATCCTAACCAAACAGCAGGATAGCCATCTTCTTTCCTTTTCCTTGTTTTCATTATAGAAACATGAACAGAGAACTAATTCCTACAGTTATCCCCAGAGATACATGTATAAAATGTCCAATCCTAAAAAAGATGAACTGACATTATACAGTTGCTTTCCCAATTATTGTTATTATCAATTACTCTCTCCTCTTAAATCAGAATTAGGGCCTGAATCCAGCTCTCAGAGCAGACTACGAGGAATGTCCACAGAGACATACTGGATACTTCCCAAAGAGAAAATGGGAGACAGCGGAAGAGATAGCCTTCCCATTTGATCAGGAAAGCTCAACACAGAAACAAAATTATAATGAGAAAAAAAAGCCAACAAGATGCCTCCA